TCAACCACTGCGCCACCAGGGAAACCCGGTAATACTTTTTAAGCTAAGATACAAACCCCAAAATTATAAAAGAAATCACAGACACATTTTACCATATGAACATATCTATAGCAAAAGATAATAAATGGCAAGTCAACAGACACATGATAGAGTTGAAAAAAACACTGTGAAGGAAGGACAGAGTAGTAATATCTATGACATCAAAAAGAAAGGATAGGACTTCCCTGGTGGCACAGTGGTTAAGAATCTGCCTGCCAATGCAGGGGAAACAGGTTCGAGCCCTGGTCTGGGAAGATCCCACATGCTACAGAGCAACTAAGCCCATGTGCCACAACTACTGAGCCTGTGCTCTAGAGCCTGCGAGCCATAACTACTGAGCCCATGTGCCACAACTACTGAAGCCCTCACGCCTAGAGCCTGTGCTCCACAACAAGAGAAGCCACAACAGTGAGAAGCCTGTGCACCGCAATGAAGAGTAGCCCCCACTCATTGCAACTAGAGAAAGCCCGGGCACAGCAACGAAGACCCAACACAGCCAAAAATAAATAAAGAAAGAAATTTATTTTAAAAAAAGAAACAAAAGGATAAACAATCAATATAAATAGGGATTTAGAGAAAAAGGTACTTTTGATTGAAAAATTAAGATGAATATGCACATTGAAATTTGATGCTGTTTTATAAAATAAATGGTAAAAAAATTTCTATATGAGTATTTCTCTGTGTGTGTGTGTGTTAAATAACTATTCCTTCAACATTGTATAACTGCAGAAAAAAATGCAGAAGGATACTCACTAATTTTTCAAGAATGTTTATGGAGTAGTAAATATGGGTAAGAGAGCCAAATTAAAAAGTAAATTATAAGGGAAGAAAAGAGAAAAAAAAGAAAAGAAAAAGGGGGAAAAAAAGCAGAAGAACCATCCTGTACTAAAATAGCTAGTATGTACGATGTAATCACATACCTACATTGTTATAAAATTGTACACAAATGTAGACATGAAAAAAAAATTAAGATTAAAAAGGACGTTGCAACCAAACTTGCCAGAGGGCATATCCAAGGAATTCATATCAGTATTTAGATGCTCTTCTGCTTGCATTCTCACAAAATATAGTCCAAAGTGGCCATGGAGGCCGAGCATAGTTCTTGATTATTATCAATCTGAAGTTGTTATGTATGTGTTTGGCTTGACAGCATTAAAGGAACAGGGGTCACTTCAATCTGGTTTTATGGTTTATTCCAGAGGTCAACAAACTTTCTATGAAAAAACCAAATAGTAAATATATTTTAGGCTTTCTGGGCCATATCATCTCTATCACAGCTACTCATCTCTGCCGCTGTAGGCAAAAGCAGTCATAGACTTCGATGGTTAATTTTGTGGTTAAATTGGGGAGGCCAGAGTATCGAGTTACTTAATCATATGCTAATTTAGGCATTGTAGTGAAGATATTTTGTATAGTAATTGTAGATAGATAGATAGATAGGTAGACAGGTAGATAGATAGTTAGGTATCACATACTATTGGTTCTGTTTCTGTGGAGAACCCTGACATACACAGATAAGACTACATAAATTAAAAAAAAAAAGACTACATAAATTAATGGACCTGGCTGTGTTCCAATAAAACTATTTACAGTAACAGGTAGTGGATCACATTTGGCCTTGTACCATAGTTTTCCAACCTTTAGTACTATCGATAATAAAAGATAGTTGCTTTTATTAAAAACTCCATGTTTCAGGCAGTGTGAAAGGTGTTTCACACATGGATTCCAAGTGCTCCATAAGCTGAGAATTGTTCCTGACCAGGCCAGATGTTCTGGAGCAGCAATGTGATCTGGAATGATTTTTCTAGAACCAGTGAGATCTAGACCATAGCTTAAGCGTAAGAAAGAGTTTCTCAGAGAAGGCTTCAAGATGGTATTCTTTTTATTTGTTTTTATATTGTTTTACCTATTGGCTTTAGGGATTGAAAGTTATTGCTTCTAATCCAACAGAAGTGAACCAACAGCATGTCTTGGATGCTCACTTATTAAATGGGGTACCTTTCAATTGAACTTGATAAGGGGAAAATTAAAATTCACTAAATCAGGGGTTTATTATTTTTGGTAAAAAGAATTTTTTACATCAAAGATTTAAAGGAAAGGACCTTTTAAGTAACATATTCCTTTGAAGACAGAGTCTTCAATCTATAGCTATTTTTCAATAAGTACCATACACTTAAAATTATCTATAACTTTAAATAGTAGAGCCTCAGTTTGGTTTATGCCACAAGGTTCCCTTCTCCAGAGATTAATAAAACTCCCATTTAAGAAGAATTGGCATCCTTTGTTTTCAACTTAGGGGCCCCCCAATAAGCACTCTTATTTCATCCCAGGTATTACCTTCTGTTCCTCAAAAGTTTAAGAAATAACCTACATTTAAATTAATTTGATTTACAAAAAGCAAATATAATCACATCTTTTCACGATCACATCATTTATGCAAAGTGGAGAATATCTATAAAATTACCCTTACCATAGAGAAGCTTCTTGGAAGGTAAGGTGGTAAATGTTAAAATGTGGGGAAAACAGGAACTTTGAAATTCAATATCTGAAAGAGAATTCTAACCTATCAAGTAGCTGAAGAAATACTTAAGCATAAGAGTAAAGGGTTGTTATGATCATGGCCAAATGACAGACAAATTTATAAAGTAAAAGGGGATAAATTAATAATAGTAAAGAAGACCTTAATTTAGAGAAGTCAAGTTCGGAAATGGAAACTAAAGGGTTGGTGTGGCAAGTGGTGAACAAAGATATTTAGATACAAAAAAGTATGTCAGAGTTGGTCATAAGCATAAAAAGTTCAGCAAAGGAAGGTCAAGTGGGGGAACTCTGTGCAAAAAAAGGCAACTGCGGGGTCTAAATTGGTCAGAACAGTTCTAATTTCAAATAAGTTGCCATCAAATCATTGGTCCTGATTTTAAGTTCAGAAAATATAGTCACTATCATACCTATTTGTATCTACAATCTGTTATCAAACTGTCTTTAACCTAGAAAATCTTAATAATTATTTGCTGATAATGATAATTATCTGGAAACTCAAATCAGAGAAAGGACATTTAAAAACAATATCAACTAATAATTCTTAAAAAAAATACTTATTAGTGGTCTTTATTTACTAGCATCAACAAGAAACTGATTTGGAAGTTCTGTTTAGCATAGGAAATTGGTGCCACACTCACCTCTGCTGATATTATCAGCGTTGGGTGGGGATGAAGCGACAATCTGCCAAAATCTGAACCATCCTTACCAGGTTTGGGGTTTCTGTAGAGAAGTCACCTCTATCAAGTCTGACTGCCATAGCTCAGGAAAATAGTGCAGTCATTCCTCCTAGCGTACAATGTACTTCAGAAGAAGATGTTTAAGGGACCTGTGTAATAAGCCCCAGGAAGATAATATTAGTAGTGGTTTAGACAAGGAATGTAATAGCTAACAATTATGGAATGCTTATTATGTTCCAGGAACTGATGCATTATCTCATTTAATCCTTTCAACAACCTTGTGGGTTATGGGTATTCTTATTAACTCCATTTTACAGAAAACCTGGGCTTGGCAAGGTTAAAGAATTGCTCAAGACAACAAAGGTAGTAAGAGGCTGGGCTGGGATTTGAACCCATGCAGTCTGATGCTTCAGGGTGTGTATACCCATAACCACAATGCTACAGGTACACTCAAACAGGCTGGGGGGAAAATAACAGTTTTCTATACATGGTAAATTAATTTTCTCAAACTTAATCTCTGTTCACTTTATCCCACACCAGATGGTTAATCTTCAACTCACATTTTTAAAAGTTATACTGGCATTTATGTGCCAACTTTAAATAATAATGATCTTTAGTATTTTACAATTTACAATAGTGAAGCATGGACAGTCTGTTAGTCCCCAAGACAGAGAGAAATAGAGATGATACTGATAGTGCACACTCTCCAAGTGAAATGACAAAGAAATACACATAAACTTCATACTTCATTTATTGAAATTATTTGGATCCAATGAATTGCTTAAACAACCCAATAAAACAGGTCAGTTTACAAATCAAGTGTCATCAGTATGCCTCCAAGTTTCAATAACTTATCTTCACCGGTGAAGAACTTATATGTTTGATACATTATTCAAAACCCACATATCACCTAAATCCACAGAAACTGTGGCTTTTTCCTCTAACCTACTCCCTTTTATTCATTAGTATTCACTTACATCTTCGTTCACCACATTTATAGCTCTTTGAAGGTTTCGTTTCATTCTCATCAGACCATTTACCTCACAATTTTCCTCCCTGTTTCTAAATGGATGCATTTTTACTGGAAAATCTGTAGCTACACTACCAAAGATTAGTATCACGATTTAAAAGACATGACTGCAAAAGTACACCACCACCAACACCGAATTACCGCAAGGAACGAAAGGTCCCAGACAAATGAGCTCCAGCCTTTAAAGAGGACAGCTCGCTGCCACCACCTAGGGCGGGCAGGGAATAGGAGGAGGGGAGGTCGGAAAGGCAGTGTTTGATTCAAGTCAATAAACGTTCACTGCGCCACTCACCAAGCGCCAAAAAAAAAAAAAAGATGGGCGGTATTTCGAGCAGTGGGCCTTGCAGGTTTGCCGGAGAGGGCAAGAGACTGTGGCGCGGACTCGGACGCTGGGGAGCGGCAGGGCTGGATCTGAGCCCTTCACCAGGCAGGCGACGGCGGCCAACTAGGGCCGGGCCTCCAGCGCCCCGCTCCCGCGGCCCGCACACTCGCCGGCTCAGCCACCAGCCCGATGGCCGACCAGCCGCAGCCGCTTACCGGTGGCGCCTCGCTGCCTCCCCGGAGGCAGCCCTTCAACGGTTGTCGCAGTCAGAGCACCACCCCGCGGTGGGGTACGTCGAGCCCGCCCGCAGCTCTCGGATCCGCTCAGCTCCACCACTCTCGCGAGAGGTCGGGGGAGGCCGCGAAGTGGAGGAAGGAGAAGGGAGGGGCATTTAACGGTGGTGGCTGGTTCTGCGCCGGATCCGGGAGTCGGGCGGACGCCATTGTGATTCGGGGCCGACTTTTCTGCCTCTGTTAGAGGCCTCGAACTCCGAGGAGGAAGGCGGCGGTGTGATCGCTGGAAGCGGGACGGGCCCTGTTCAGTGCCAGCTCTGGAGCAGGGGTAATAAGCTGCGGAGTTCGGGCTTCTCCCTCTCGGGGAGGGGGTTGTAAAGGCCGCGGGTGGGGGAGGGGAGGAAACGAAGTGCTAGCCTGGGGACGCCGAGGCCGCCTCCTTCCTCTCAGAATCGGGGCGGAGGAGCTTGATCCGGGACCGCGGGTACTAAGGGGAACCGGGCACAGGCCTCCTCTGCCGGCGGCCTTTCGTCCCGTGTTGGAGTTTGTGACGGTTGGAGGGGGCAGGCTGTGCGTCTTCGTTGTGGACGTGCGGCGGGCGAGGGCAAGGGGCTTGAGCCCTGTTTTGGCCTTTGGCTACCTCCTCCTCGACGGGGGTGAGGACGGTCCTCCGGGGCGGGCCGGGAGTGTCACGAGTGAGGTATTTAATGAGCGAGGTGTTGAAGACAGGGAGGCTTAGGGCTCTGCCAACCCAGGTTCGAATTGAAGGGACTTTGCCAGCCCCTTAGATGGGATAAAGGTTTGCTCATTGATCGTCCCAGATCTTGAGTATCGTGATACTTTGGGATTCCTTTTGTATTGTGGTAAGTTATATGTTATTCAAATTGAACTAGGTGGTGGTATGTATAAAAACGGACCTGTTGGCGTAAGAAGTGAAATATGGAAGGCACTAGTAGTTGAATACAGTACTCCCTCATTTTGTTGAAACTGCGTAGAGAAGATGAATGTGTACACACAGCAAAAATACTACAATTCTTTTTTCCTACGAACAGATGTAAATATATGGGGAACATCTCTGTCTTGGTAGTACATTGATCACGACCGTTGTCGTTTGGCGCTATTAAGAGCAAAGGTGCCAAGTGAAATTGAGTAATTTTTTTTCGGTTTTGTAGGATGTTTTAGGTTTTGTTTTTTCTTTAATAAAATAATTTTAAAATTTCCCCTTTTCTTTCTCTCATCTGTTCGTTTCTGTCTAGGACTAAGAGATAAGGTTAAAGATGAATTTTTGATTTAAAATCAAACGGTATACTGTTGTTAAAAAGGCAGACACACACTGTAACTAGATTTTTTCTTTTCCGTGAGATAAAATTGTGTTTCAGAAATGGGGTCAGTATTTGATTTACAGCTCTACAGCATTTTGTGAAACAGCAGTGGCGTAGGAGGCATTAGAGGCCGCTCTGGGTTTGAGTCTTGATTTCGCCATAATTATTTAACCTCTTCCTAGAGTTGAAATGAGGATTAAATTAGATGAAGTAGTGTGTAGCAGTCAGCACGCTGGGGGACATAATACTTGCAGAATGAACTTTGGATGAATGTAAGCAGTTGGAAATGATACTAAGTCCAGTTGTTTATATTCATGCATTCTTCAAATTTTACTCTCCCTGTAATATGTCCCTCACAGAGTACTGATTGCTTCTCAACACACACAATAATATACACTTATATAAGTTCTATACTACAAATGTTTTTAGATAAGAACATTTTACAGCTCTTCGTTTGCCCTAAATTATACCACAGATATCAGCATGGTCGGTAAGCATAGTCCTGAGTTTTTTTCTGAAGTTGCGTGCTGGGTCAAATGTCATGAATAAGAATGGTTAAAAATTCCTGCTTATTTAAGTACAGGCAATTTCTGTTTCTGTCACATTGGTAAGAGAGCTTAATTTCCCAGGTAAAGCACAAAGATGCCCCTATATAGACATGCACATATGTTCTATGTGAAGGTGTCAGATAATCAGCTTGAACATAAAAACATCCATGGCCCCAGTTTTTAACCAGCTACATATCCATTTCACACAGCTGTTCATCTGGTATATGTTCAAGAGTTGCCCGCTTAATTTTAGGAAAATAATCGTAATGGTGTAAAACTATCAAATAATGTAAAAATTTTTGAAAGTTTGTTATTTGTTGTATTTTAGCTACTAGATTAGGGCTTCACATTACAAGAAGGAGGTTGACACAGCTTCCACCTTCCACAACTCACAATTTAATCATCAGACTAATGTATAAACAACAACTGCTATTATCTTAGTGTAAGTATTGATATATGGTAGTATTGTGAGAGCACAGAGAAGAGGTGTTTGATCTTGGGGGAAATTTTTACAGGAAGTATTACTTGAACTGAGATGTGAAGGATGATTAGGAGTTTGATAAGGAAACTGAAAGTCATGGTATCATGGTTTGTTTTAGGAATATACAGTTTGTTCCCCATAGCTGAAACAATTGAATGGAGGGTTAGAGCATGACATGAAAGACCTTCAGTACTGTTTTTGAAAGTTAGCGCTCTATGCTGTTGGGAATAAAGAGCTGTTGTGTCCCTAAGCCAAATAAAAAATGATTTTAAATTATCTATGCTGATACATCCTTCTGTTACTACAGATAATTAAGTGCTAGTAATAAAGAACAGTGGGGAATGCATAAGTGAAATGCACAAGGTTGTATCAAACCTCATTTTTAACCAACAAATTAAACTTAACTAATGAACATTTTAGCTGTTAAATAACTTAATCAACAACTGATCACATTAGTGTAATTACAGTTTAAAACTGAGTAAAGATTTTGAGTTCTTACTAAGATCTACTTGAATTCACTAAAGCAGAATTATAGTGAAATAATTTATCTTCTCACAATTATTATTTTGCAGAAATTCGATTTTTAATACACTTGCTAATCATAAGATGAACACAGAAATGGGGAGCAGGATAAAATTATAATTTGAGAGTTGGCTGCGTTTTACTTTTCATGATCTTAATTTTTAACTTTTCTTCTCTGGTCCAAACTCATGTGGTGAAAACTGGTTTTTCTTGTTCTCAAATGTATTTCTCTGGCTCTACTGGTTAGACTAGATAAGTTGAACACCTGGTTTTAAAATTACCTACTGTCATATACCCACTTTTGTCAATAACTTTAAGAAGGCATATTTTGAACCTTAAAAGTTAGTTTTCATCTCTTCATTATGATCATTGCACTTCAGTGTAACGTGTTTCCCACTTTCAGAATAACTCTAAAATGGTTTCCAGTTATGGAATGAAGATTGAAACTTGACACAGATTAAATACACTTCAAAGGAGGACAGATTACTTCAAAGTATTCTAACGTAGACTTAACATCATAGTCCTGTTTTTCATGGAGATGTTGAACTTTTTTCTAGTTATTGATAGTATTTTTTAAGACCTGGCTGTATCTTTATGTGTTAAATATTTGTCAGCTAAAAATCAAGGCATTTTTTTAAAGACCCCACAAGTTCTGTGCTTTAGAAGTGCTTTCCTTATGTGACTACCTTTAGTTTTCATGTCTCCATGTTCACTAGGATCAATAAAACACTAGGATTTCCCATTAAGAAAAAAAAAGTTTTTTCCCAGAAGCAGATTTTTTAAACAAAAGGATATACCAAATAGAGGTAAATAAAGGAATTGTAACTGTGTTTATATTTGTGGAAGATTATTGGCTATTGAAATACATTGGTATTTTCTATGATAACTGTGGTCTTAATGCCATGAATTTATTGTATAGTAATGTTGTGCTTTTGGTAATTCAGTAACTGTAACTCCCCTGGATATTAAAGACGAAGTCTAAGTTAGACCCTGAAATCGAATCAGATTTTTCATAAGACCGGATGCATAATGATAATTGTAGGAAAATAAAAGGAATAAGTTACAAAGCTTTACTTTATTGCTACGTAACGCAGCACCTCAAAACCGTGTGGATTAAAACTACTGTTTACAGTGTTTTTACAGTTCTCTGTGCCTGTTGGGTAGTTCTGGTTTCCCCTGGGTTCACTCATGTATCAGTTATTCAGCTGAAGGATTTCTCAGGCTGGCACGTCCAAGATGGCATCACTCACATTTCTGGCACTTGGTGTTGGTTAAACATGGAGGCTTTGCTTAGTGTGGTCTTTTATGACATGGGGGTCCCAAGACAGCATTCCAGGAGAGTGAAAGTGGAAGCTATAAGACTTCTTACAGCCTTGGAAATCATATGTCATAGTGTATTCTTAGTCAAAGTAAGTCTCACAAGGTGGCCCACACTCAGGGGGTGGGGAAATAGATTCCACCTCCTCTCAGGCAGACCAGCTAGAGGACAATGCAAAAGGGTCTGGGTATTCAGCTGGGAGGGATTTGTAGCCATACTTTGTAATTACCACAGGTTGCTTAGAATATTTTAAGAACAGACATTCTTAAGGATGTCATCACTGGGATTTGCTTTAAAATAGAGGAGGGTGAAGTAGTCAAATGTTGATAATTGTTGAAGAATGTTGTTTGGCTTCTGGAGGCTTATTATTGTCTCCACTTTTGTGTAAGTTTGAAATTTTTTCATAGTAAAAAAAAAATTTTTTTAAGCGTACTCAGGTAGTCTAAACTCCATTTTGCAAAGTGATTTTGACCTTATTTTCCATTTATTATTACCAGAATAGAATAGTACTCTGTTGCTTAGTATTTACTACTTCCTTTGTGGTATACAGATACTAAGGGGTATAAACTAGCAGTACTACAATTTATAAAGGGAATTGTTTTTAGGAGTTCTTTATAGATTTTATTGTAATGTAAGATAAAAAAAAATCTTTTCTTCTGCCAGTAACTTTCCCTTAATTATCAAAGTTAGGTCAAATACATTAAAGAAGTTTTGGAAAACTAAGTTAAGAAAACAAAACCCACCCAGATGTACAGTAAAATGTGAATAATGGCTATTTTTCCCCCAATTTCGTATGCATATACTTATGTAAGGTATGTACGTTTTCTTTACTCAGCAGCAAGTATTCTCCTGTACATAAATCTGAATGACTTTAAAAAGTCTTCACTATGTATTAAAGACAAATTTCAAATAATGAAAAAGCCAAAATAATGCCTACTAAGCTGTTTGTATGAAAATCTTTTAACATCTGATGGTATTGCTTAATAACAGCTGGTATTTGAGGATTATATACTGTGTGCCAGCAAAGCTCATGATATACCTGTAAAGTTGGTACTATTATTATTCCCATTTTGTAGGTGAAGAAATTAAGCATTAGATTAAGGCTAGAGTCATACCAAGTAAGGGACAGACTTAAAA